ATCCATGCATGACCTCTGGGGTGAGGCAGTGCAATACGGCATCTCACCTCTGGTGGCGCTGTGTCACGCAATACGGCATCTCACCTCTGGTGGCGCTGTGTCACACTGAATGAAGCAAACAATCGACACATGCCCATTGCTGACAAACATTATGTTATTGATAAAAAGCTTTTAAAATAATGTGTGCAGTTCAGGTCAAAACTGAGATGCAGGCTTTTAATTTGGATTTGTAAATCTGACTCCAGAGACGTCAGATTTAAATGTGTTGTGAGGCTCATGACCTCACTGCACATCTCTGGTTCAGCAATATAACACAAAAAATGTTTGAGTCTTTAACTGACTGGTTTTTCCTGTTCAGATGAAAGACTTCAGCTCATCAGTGGGAATCCCCATGAACTGCATCTTTCCAGTGAAGAACTACAGTGAAGAAATCGACTTGAATGATGATGTTGATGCTCTGATCCTGAGCGCTCTGAGGAAAATGGTCGACTTTGGAGACGACTTCATTGAGAGGATTTAAACTGAGATGTAGAGAAAACAGTGAGGTGTGACACCATTTACTGTATATGTCTAGAACACAGATTAAGCTGCGTTATGTTATGCGGGTTCGGCCTTTTTACATTTGGAATTCAGTTTTGGACTTGAGACGTTTAACAGAAGAACTTTTCAGTCTTTTAATTTAAAACGAAATGTTTTATTTTTAAATGAACTTGGTTAGGTCAGTATAACAATGGAAGTAACTTCTGGGAGCTGATCCTCCCACTTTATATAAAATTAGGACAGACACATGGGTGTTGCAATGTGATTTAAAATCTCAATGCAAGGTAATAACAGGAGCATTTTTAATCAAATGAATAAACAGAATTTGTTTTAAATTAAACTCAAAATTGCTTACAGCTGTCCTTAAGTTTTTTTATTTTCTTAAAATGCAAAATCATTTTTAAACACTTTTGTAACATTTATTTGATCTTTTTGTTTTATCTGATGTCTTTTTCTCTGTTTTTCATGTAAAGCACCTTAAATAGCCATGAAGGCAAAGAGGCTGTACAAATATTTTACTTTGCCCTCTTTTTTTAAATATATTTTTTAATCAATTTCAGATTGAGTAAGTAGCTGCTATGCAAAATGATACAGTGAGTGTAAAGTACTTCTGGGCTTTTGGGTTGATTGGAGATAGTGTCATTTTGATGTGTTGCTTTAATTTGGTTATGTGAAGAAGCCTGGTTTTACAATTTGGCACATTTCATCGATTGTATTGCACTGCTGTAAAATAACAATAACTGTTGTTTAAAGTTTCCAGTCTTTTTTACAAACACTGAATAAAAAGACACACAGACCTTTTTCATTCATACATAATATTAAAGCAGATCAAACATCACTCAGAATTACCAAAATTATTTCTATTTGATAAATGCCACAATAATGGGGCAGAATATAGATTTATTTATTGACATCTTAAACATCTGAAGCTTACAGAATCATTACTGCTTCTTTAATCAATTAGGGGAATCCAAGATGATGATGTCATGACTTTGGAGACATCTGATAGGTTAGCTGACATGTGGATGTATTTTAAGTTCATGTCTGGCAAACACTGGTTTCTTGTTTGATTTTATGAAGTCAAAAGAAAGATATCAGGAAGAATGTGGAGCTGCTCCAGTCTGGATCATCCATGGGAACAATTTCTTGTAGGTGCTGCGTTCATCTGTTCAAACAACTATATACAAGTATAAACCTGATGGAAATGTCTAACCATCATAATGATCAGGAAGGAGACGGTGTCTTTTGGTCAGAAATGTGCAGATTCATACCAGATCAAAAGCCAAACCTTGGTGTAGATGCTGGTAACAGTGAAACATCCTCAGTAGTGACATGGGCTCTCACTCAGTGAGGGCAAACCATTACCTCAAATTAAACATTAAAACGTCAGATTGCAGTTTATACATACAAAAATAGAGGCAAAAATTGTTATTTTTGCAGCTGTAAAGTTTGGCGGTGGCAGCGTCATGCTGTGATGCTGTTTGTTTAGTTAACTCATCATAAGTTTCCAAAGCCAGGGCGTCATCATCTGGGTTTTCCCTCACTGTTTAAAGAAACAGTACTCTTTACATAAGCAAACGTCTGATTTTGAAGACATTAATAAATAAATCTGTTCAGTTTCTGTCTGTCATTAATATGGTGCTTAGCTAATAGAAATTACTTTAGTAGTTCCAACTGACCTAAACAAGACAAGCTGCTCTGATCTGACTTCAGACTGTGAGGGAAAACAGTTTACATGTCATGTTGTTTGATGTATGCAAATTTCTGGTTTCAAATATAAAGCAGCACATCATCATTATTATTGATATATTCATTTTTTCTTTTAGTGTTAATTTGCTTTATTATTTTTTTTACTTTACATTTCCACAAGCAGCACTTCCTCCAGCAATCGCTGAAAGTCTATATTAGTATAATTCAATTTCCTGCCATTCTTTGCGATGAGTTCACCAAGTACAAACAAGTCCCTGCAGAACAAAGAATAGAGAAAGTGAAAGTAAAAGATGTATTGTGGTTGTCAGAGCAGTGAATGTTATGTAGGGGTGGAGACGGATGTTTATTCATTTCACAGCAGAGCAGCAGCAACAGGATGAATCGATTTTTGAGTGAGTGCATTTAGCTTTAGATTACTTTTCTAGATATTTGTAAGAAGTGATTCATGGAAGCTTTTATCAAATACTTATGGCAAGAAAATATCAGGTTTTTTTCAGTAGATTCTTATCAAAACTTTGTTCAGACTCATTTGACCAATAAATTCTACAGAAAAAAATAGCAGTAGTTCTTATAAACTCTACTTTCTTTTTTCTTTTATAAAAGGGAGACAAGAAAATCCTGGTAAGTTAAAGAGCCAAATCCAACATTGCCTAATGCTTTATATTCTCCATCTCCTGCTTCTGATCCGGAAACTATTTAAATCGAAAGTAAACATTTTAAATGGTATTTGTGTCAGTTTGGATAAAATTTAAAAGATTGAATTGAAGTAAATATATCAGGAACAGTTTAATTAAAGTTTTTTTTTCCTGTTTTTCTCTGCTAAAGCTGAGGAGCCTGAGTCTAAAAGTAAGTTTTTGCATTTTGTTTCTGAGAATCTTCCAGTCATCTTTGCAGTATAATAATAATTCATGTTTCTGTTCAGCTCTGGATGATCCATGGAGGGAACTACGCTGGGGGTGAGTTTACGGTGAAACTCAAATCTGATCAATAACAGCCTGTTTACTGGTTTACGGGTGGGTTTAGCTGAGTTCTAGTCAGAGTTTAGGCGTTAAAAGGAAATGCACAGAGGAAGTAGATCAAGAAGGAAGTAAGTCACTCTGCTTCATGGCTTCACCTTAAAACAGAGTGAAGCTCAGACTGAAACTAAGAAACTCATCATAGATGAACCTTCATCAGGAAGAAAACGATTATCATTTGGTTAACAAATTTCTTTAGCTGAAAACAACAGGTTGTTACAGGATGGAGGGCTATAAAACAGATGAGCTGACCAGTCATAACAAAAGATTAGAATGTGATGGAGTCAAAGCTGATGCTCGCTCTTAGATAAGACCAGGTATACCGGGCACATCTCTCTCAAAAACAAACCAAAGAACTCGCTTCCTTTCATTTTTTTGAAGAGCATACCAAAGAAAAATCTATATAATGAATAAAAAGCTTCATGTTTCCTGATGAGAACCTGATAAAGCTCATGTGACTCCACCATGAAGAGGCTGGCGCTTAATGTGCACTGGAGTCTTTGTCTTCCAGGTTGATTATTGATTTTTAGGGCTTGAAATGGCCGTAGTCTGAAATGCCTTACTAATGTTCTTTACAGACTGTTCAGGCCACCAGATGCAGGTATTTTATTAATGCCCAGTTTAAAACGGGTTATTGCAGCAAATGTGTTTAATTGCATTTGGTTTTCAGGTAAATTGCACAGGTTAAAGGTAAAAAGGTGATCACAACTATTTCCAACTGGAACCTGTCAACCTCACACTCCTTCCCCACCAGAGAGGCGACATTCCACACCAAGAACCAGAGTATCAGACCGGTAAGGTCTGTGCCTTAGGCCACAACCCCTTTAGCTCCTTCCACAGCTGGTGAAAAGGACAGACCAGAAGAATCAGCAGAGTAATTGTAACATATGAAATGGCTTCAATAATACAGATCTCAGAGTCTGGAAACATCCTAAAAATAAAATGCTACAGAATGAGAATCAAACATTATTGAACAACAACATGAACCTGAGCAGGACTGAAGCAAATTGATGTGGTTGAAGAGAGAGAGAAAAATAATTTCAGTTTATCCTCTTCTTCATCAGCAAACACTGGACATGTTTGAAGAGCATACCAAAGAAATGTTCAGTTAAACAGTTGTTTAAGTGACCAACTGTGCCACTTAAACAACTTGCCTTGCAGCAAGAAGGTCCTGGGTTCGATTCCTGGCCCGGGGTCTTTCTGCATGGAGTTTGCATGTTCTCCCTGTGCGTGCGTGGGTTCTCTCTGGGTACTCCGGCTTCCTTCCACAGTCCAAAAACATGACTGTCAGGTTGATTGGTTTATCTAAATTCTCCCTAGGTGTGAGTGTGTGTGTGCATGGTTTGTCCTGTCTGTCTCTGTGTTGGACTGCTGACCAGTCCGGGGTGACCCCGCCTCGCGCCTGTTGAGCGCTGGAGATAGGCACCAGCACCCCTCGCCACCCCACTAGGGATAAGAATGTAAGATGGATGGATGGATAGGTGTGGTAGTTATTGTGCCGACTTTGGATAATATTGAACTGAAATATTTTCTCTTGCCTTATTCCTCATTAGGACAGCACTAACCAACTGATTTACTTTATGTTCTCAGAGAAAAACAGATGAATCTTCAATATGTGCAGGAATACAAACCTGAAAAAGACGACATCAGGTACCTTCGTGTCCTGCTGTACGGACCAGTTGGATCTGGAAAGTCCAGTTTCATCAACTCTGTCAGTAACGTCATTCGAGGTCGGATGACGATTCCTGCTTTGGCCAGCGCGATGACGTCTGACCAAAGCTTCACCAAAAGGGTTTGAAAACTAAGATGCTTCTGTTTATCTTCCGGATTGAAGTCAATACTGCTATAGTACTATTAAAACAGCTTTAAATAATGTTTATTAGAACCAGACTGGTTTGTCAAAACTGTAGTTTGAATACTGAATCTGTTAAGATTTCTGGGTTCATAAAATCTGTCTGTACAGACGGAGATTAGCTCTGAGCTTCTTCCTTTCTATTCGTTGGTTCTGGTTCTGAGACTTTTAATGAATCAATCTGAAAAACAGCTATGAAAGCAACAGGACTTTGTTTTTCTGGATCACCATGTTTCTTTCTGTATTTCAGTATGAGACTCATAAGTTCATTAAAGGACGAGGAAGCACAAAGACATTTTATCCTCTGGTCTTCAACGACATCATGGGACTGGAAGACGGGACCGACAGAGGAGTTCATGCTGACGACATCAAACTGGCTTTGAAAGGTCATGTGAAGGAAGGCCACAAGGTGCAGCAACTTCATGAACAAGTTGTGAAATATCTACATGAATGACTGGCTGCAGCCCCTAATTAACAGAATAAAGTTGTGTCTTTGAAATACTTTTCATGCTGTATATTTTGTTCTTTTCCAGTTCAACCCAGTTGCTCCTATATCTCAAAATGACCCAGGCTACAACCCGACTCCCTCTGCTGATGACAAAGTTCATGTCCTGGTCTGTGTGATGTCAGCCAACACTCCTCAGATGAATTCATCAGTTCTGGAGAAGATGAAGAGCATCAGAGAAGCAGCCAGTGATCTGGGTGGGTTTATAGATCTATTGCAGAATAGATCTACAGTAAAGTCTTCCAATCAATGTCTCTGGTTCCAACCTGAAGGATTTGTCATTTACTTTAAACCTTTTGAACTGATAAAAACTAAGGCTGCCAATATTTTGGGATTAATCTTAAAAGTTTAACACGTTTATATGACATAAATCATATTAATTGCATTAATTATTTTGACCTAAAAGCCTCCCTCCCGGCCTACAGAAGCTTACTTAGTTCAAAGCAGCATGTTACAAGGCGTTCAACAACACGGAGTCCAAAGGAGAGTGAACTGTTGAGCGAGGAGAGAAGACTGTTGTGGTCAGCTGCAAATTTTGCTTTAAAAACACATTTATTACAGAGGATTTGGACCTCGATGCGGCCATCCTGAATTCGACTCCCATCCTTGGTTCCTTTGCTGCATGTCTTTCCCCCACGCTCCTTTAGACTGCTGTCAAATAAAGTTTGCTAGTGCCATAAAAATAATTTAAAAACAAACAAACGCAATGTTTGTCCAATGGACATCTGGATAAGAGTAAGGCAGTATGCAGGCTGTTTTTTGCAAAGTGAGTTATCCTTATTATTTGAATAATACACTTTATGTATGATGATGTTTATTTCTTGAGATATCAAAGGCTTTCTTTTAAAAATTCCTCAGCATGTAAAGCAGGAAAACAGACATTTGGTTTGAGGCAAAAAGCATTTTTCGAAAACGCACATTTTTGCATTTCAAGCTTACAAAGTTGAGAGCATTGTGAGTTTGATTACATAATTATACCTACATTAATTTCACTTACTTTAGCCTTTCAAATTGATGAAAGCATAAATATTTTCTTCAGTGAGTCTCTTTTCCTGCAGGAATTCCTCAGATGGCCATGATGACCCACATCGATGAGGCCTGTGGTGAAATTGAGAAAGAATTGAAGAATGTCTACAAGAGCAAGTACCTGAAAAAAAAGGTGAGTTTCAGTCAGTTGGTCCAGAAAAATAACACAAAATTATTTTAGAGCATAACTGTAACTGATATTTACTGTTCAGATGAAAGACTTCAGCGCAGCAGTGGGAATCCCCATGAACTGCATCTTCCCTGTGAAGAACTACAGTGAAGAAATCGACTTGAATGATGATGTTGATGCTCTGGTCCTGAGCGCTCTGAGGAATATGATCAACTTTGGGGACGACTTCATTGAGAAGATTTAAACTGAGATAAAAAAAAAAAAACAATGAGGAGGAGCAGGTTCAGTTACATCCAATATACTGAATATATATGTAGAGTTACAGCTTCATAAAGTTATGATAGGTAAGAGGAACACATTTAGTAGAATTTGTTTTAAATCAGAACTAAAAATATATATGGTTGTGCAGTCGTGTTTATTTTCTTAAACATCTAATCTGGTCTTTTTTATATATACAAGATTCTCTCATATTTTTTCTATACTTTTTTGTGACATTTACTTTATCTTTTTGATTCATCAGTTGTTTTTTTCATGTACTTGTAAAGTACATTGTCATTTGAAGTGCTTACATGCATTATGTGTACAAAGCTGGTGCACAAATAAACCTTTTCTTTTCAATAAAACTTTTCATAAATTGCTATTCATTGTGTTACAATGTTAAACATCTCTGGACAGTCTGGTTAAATGTTATTTTGACATAAGAAGATGATTCAATCATATGCCAGAAGTTTGAATAAAACTGCCAACTTCACTTATTAATCTTGTGAATTTAATAATTTGTGCACCAGTGGATGCATTTTAATTTCACACCTGGAGAACAATGCTTTCTTGTTAGACACACAATGGGAAAGTCAAAATATACTGAATAAAAATATAAACGCCCCATGTTAAATATTGCTGTCATGTGGAGTTAACTGTAAAATAGGAAATTTGCTGACATTTTATTGTACAAAAGTAATATTTATCTTGATTTGGGTATAATTTTTAATCCAGCTTGCTGTCAGTGAGCATTACTCAGTTAATTTTTTACTCAGTCCATGGGTGGGGCATGTCCAGTGGGTGATCAGACAAAATGAGCAACAGCTGGACAATAAAAGTCACGATGAGCAAGACAAAGCTAGACAGCTAGCTAACACTTGAGTTGAAAATAATCCAGTCCTTGATAGTTTTCTTGTTTTATTTGGGAACTCTTGTTTTTTTTTTTTGTTTGTTTGTTTGTTTTGTAAAACTGTAACAAAGCACAAAAGTACACATCAACCACAGACAAGATACAGAAAACAACCAGACTACAGCAAACAGATGCTCCCAACTATCACCAGTTAGCTAACGATGTAGCTTTAAATTTTGGTTTGGAAGCATAAAACTTTTTTTATATTACTCAATACTGAAATTATAATTAATAAGATGAACTTACAATAGGGTTGCCATCTTTCAGAAATTAAAATAAGGGACCAGTCCCTATATATGTAAGGGGGGACTGCGGCGGCAGCTTGTCGGTTAGTCTGTGTTACCCAGAAAGCAGTTGGGCACAATATCACAACAACAACACCATGAGTCAAACAATGACTGGGGCAGCCTACTATATAAAGTACTCTGGGAGCAGTTTTCTATTGCTAGATATACACATTTGTAGAAAACGGAAAAAGAAATCGTGTCTCGATATCGGTTCAACACGGGTTGCTACATTTAACAGCCAACTACGGTACGGTTCCGTATTTTACGGGACGGGTGGCAACCCCAACTTACAAATAGTGTCTGACACCATTGAGTTCTGCTCGACTGATCAAATTAAATACGTGAATAATGTCCGCTAGGTCTCAGTAAGGCTTTACAGTTTAACTTACAATTTACCAAGGGAAAACTAAACAAAACAAAATGGAGTCAGCGCAGCCACCCCGAAATGTCAAATTTTGTAACAAGTCATAATGCCTCAGATGTCACAAGTTATGCGGGAGCGTGCCATTGGTTGAGGGAACAATGTATAGGCTTCAGTCCCCAGCATAGCTGTCCCACAATCAGCTTTAGGTCTTCTTCCCTCTTTGCTCTTCCAGTGACACTTTATTGTTCTTCACTCAGTAAAGATACTCACTCTACTGACAGACTGAAAATTTAAATAAGAGTAGCAATGCTTCATAATAATGCTATTTAAGAAAAATGTATGACACAGAGAGACTACTCCTAGATGTTATTTAACTAAATGTAATTTTGTAAATGTAGCTGGTTACGACCTACCTCTGTTAAAAAGTGAAAGTAAACAGAGCAGAGGCTTTTTTTAAGAGATAACAATGTTGCTGTTGATTCACTTTGCAGCAGAGCAGCATGGATCAACAGCATGCTAGTCGTTTTTCTCGTTTCAGAGAACATTTCCGTGAGTGAATTTTACTTTAGATAACTTTTCTAGATATTTCCCAAAATTAATTCACAATAGCTTTGATAAAATATTTAATATGAACAGAAAGCAGCAGATTCTTTCATCAGATTGTTATTAAAGTTTCTGTTTTAATCGTATTTGAAGAATTTTCTCACCAGTAAATCTTGTAGAAAAATCCTGCTGCATTCTTTAAGAACAGCTTCATATGTTACTCTATTTTCTCCGTAGGTAGACACATACATTATGTGGAGGATTCTGGTAAGTTAAAGTGTCAAACTCAACACAAATTTACCATCTCCTCTTCCTGATGCTGAAACTGTGTTAAAGGGAAAACAAAAATTGTGTTTGTGTGAGTCTAAAAAACACTTTGAGTACAAGCATTACAAGTTTCTTCTTGAAACTCGTAATGCTTCTTGAAGCATTAAACATTTGTGACTTGATTGAAGAAAGTCCGTCAGGAACTTGTTTAATTGATTTTTTTTCCTTTTTGTTTTTCTCTGCTAAAGCTGAGGTAGCCGAGTCTCCAAGTGAGTGATTACATTTTGGTTTTGAAAATGTCCCAATCATCGCTGCAGAATAATAATTTATGTTTCTGTTCAGCTCTGGATGAACCGTGGAGGGAATTACCCTGGGGGTGAGTTTATGGTGAAACTGTCGCATCTGGTCAATAAAAGCCTGTTTACTGCGGCTCGGTTGTTTGTCATTCTGCTGAAAGGTAAAACTGGGGCTTCAGATCTCACTGGATAAAGCTTTGAAACAGAGTTTGGGTTGAGAGTTAACAGTAACTGAAAGAACAAAGTGGAGCAGGAACCAGACGTTAGTGTGGATTGAAGTCGAGTCTGAAACAAAAAGATGATCATCATACATGAACCATCATCACAGGAGGAACAGTTCGAGTAACTTGGTGAACAAATTTCACAAGAAGTTCTTATTTGATGTAGGGATATAAAACAAGTGGGTAGAACACTGATAACAGGACATAAAAATGCAGAGGGGTCGAAGCTCACCATCATTCTGAGAGAAAAGCAGAAGAACAAACGAGTTATGAGACGGAGCCATGGTTATAATGTTTATTAGTTTTGGCAGGTGGTTGGCTGGGTGTGTGTTGGTGAACTGGGGTGTTGATTCGTTTGGAAAGGATGGGGCGGCATGTTTGGCCTGCAGTCGCAGTCGGGTGGGTGGAGCAGTGGAGTTCACATCCGCCTAGATGTTTCTCTGCTTCAGCACACCTGACTCCAATATGAGCTCATTAGAAAAGCTCTGCAGAGCTCGACTGCATCCTAGTGAGGCAGTTTCACCATCTAATTCAGGCGTATAGGAGAAGAGACATCTAAAGGTTTACCCTGGAGGAATGAAGCTTAAGACCACTGCTTTAAAACTTCCCCCTTTGTTCTCACTTTCTTTTCCATCTCAGTGTTATTCACATTTGAAATAAACTCAAATTAATTTCTAATGCATTTACATATATATCAAGTGGAGTATCAGTGAAAGTCATAATGGTTCGCTAATGAAAGTCTGTTGGGCCTCGTCTGTCAGGCACTTGGATAAGCAGTGGAGTCCCATACTGATGAACAAGACACTTTGAAATAAAAATGACCTGAAGTGTGTTTTTATTTATCTTTTAGTTTTTCAGATGATCTCGGATTCTGAGCACATTGGATTGAATATTTCCTGTTATGTCTTTTTTCAGAATGACCAAACTAACTGATTTATTTATGTTCTCAGAGAAAAACAGAAGGATCTTCAGTATGTGCAGGAATACAAACCTGAAAAAGATGGAATCAGGTACCTACGAGTCCTCCTGGATGGACCCGTTGGAGCTGGAAAGTCCAGTTTCATCAACTCTGTGGGTAACGTCCTCAGAGGACGTATTACAATTCCTGCTTTGGCCAGCGCGACCACGTCCGATCAAAGCTTCACCAGAAAGGTTTTCTGTTCATCTTCCAGAACTGACTTTAATGGGCCATCAAAAAATGACTGCATCAGCAAAACGAAGTTTCCCTTGTTGAACATGTTTGTTTTTTCTTGCTGTGTTTCAGTACGAGACTCATAAGTTCATTAAAGGACGAGGAAGCACAAAGACATTTTACCCTCTGGTCTTCAACGACATCATGGGACTNGATTCTTTCATCAGATACATCTTCTGCTCCTGATGCTCAAACTGATTTCAAGAAAAAGTAAAGAATTTAGATGTTGTGTCAGTTTGGAGAAGATAACACTTTGCTCTTTTATTTTGTGAATTTGTGACTGATTTGATTGAAAATACGTTTTCAGGGCCAGTTTAATTCTATTTTTTTTTTACTCTTTTATCTTAGATAAACAGAATGTGGCTGAGTCTCCTGGTGAGTGATTATTTTGATTTTGAAAATGTTTCAGCCAGTCATCTTTGCAGAGTAATAATTAATGTTTCTGTTCAGTTTTGGATGAACCACGGAGGGAACTACACTGGGGGTGAGTTTTTACACTCACAGCTGATCAATAAGACCCTGTTCACTGCTGTTGAGTTGTTTGTCATTCTGCTGAAATGTATAAATTACATCTTTAGAGCTAATTGGACAAAGAAAAAGCTCAGAAGATGATTTAAATGACCTCTTTCTGGGCGGTTCTGCTGAGTTTAGATGGGGTCTGGTCATAGTTAGACAGGAAACAGAGGAAGAAGACAAAACCACAATTGTGATCACAATGATGAACATTGTGATTACAACATTAGACTAGTTTTAATAAACAATGGTTAAAATTTAAAATGGTTAATATAATATTTTACAAATATTACCCAGCATATAATTTTGGAAAGATTCAACAAACAGCCTATAGATAAATTCTACAAAAAAAAAACAACAACAACACTGTAACAAAACATGTACCTTAGATATTATGTTCATTAAAATACAATCACAGAATTTCCTCCAATGATTATAGAATGAATAAGTTTTGACACGAGCTATAATAAATGGTACACTGAGCTATTTACTGGCATGAATTATGTCTATTGGTGTAAAAAACATTTTAAAAATAACCCAAAACATAAATCCTTAACTCATACAGTACAAGATCCTCCACAGACATTGCAGGACAAAAGACAGTCCAAATGGGTTTTTCACAAACTAACTTGTCACAACTGCATGTGAGATTTACCTGATGAGTAAATCTGATTTACTCATCAGGTAAATGATGAGTAAATCATTTACCTGATGAGTAAATCAGGTGATGTGCTCATCTGTTTTAGATGAGCAGTGCTCCTTTGCACTGCTCATCTAAAACACATGGAGTAGCAAAAGGTCAATCACAGTATAGTTTAGCCGATAGTTTATCAGTAAAATAAAAGCTAAGTCTTTAAATCATAGTGAACTTTTGCCATGATTTGGGTTTGATGGTGGTGAAGACAGATGTGGTTGGACCCGGTTTAAGATGCAAATGATGGTTTTTAATGAACAAACGATTCAGCGCAGATGAGCAGCAGCAGAAGGTCTGAGTCTGGTAGCAACTGGTAAATTATTACGGCAACTGACACAAGACTAATGTCAGTGGACGGTAGGTGAGGACCTGACGAGGAAACACAGACACAGGTGGGATTAAATACACAAGGGAGTAATCAGGGAAACAGGACATGGCTGAGATTAATCCAGGGGTAGACAAGACGACACAGGAAATAAACTGACTAGAAAACAAACACAGAAGCCTAAGTCCTTAAGATTTTTTTTTTAAGAATTATTCTTAATCTAATTGAGTTAAAGGGTGTTTGGTACTTCTGTGCTTTGGTTCAGACTGGGTTTAAATCCTATTGGACTTAATATTTTCTGTTGTGTGTACCTCGTTTTAGGACAAAACTAACTGATTTATTTATGTTCTCAGAGAAAACCAGATGAACCTTAAATATGTGCAAAAATACAAACCTGAACAAGATGATATCAGGTACCTACGAGTCCTGCTGTATGGACCCGTTGGAGCTGGAAAGTCCAGTTTCATCAACTCTGTCAGTAACGTCCTCAGAGGACGGATGACGATTCCTGCTTTGGCCAGCGCGATGACGTCTGATAAAAGCTTCACTAAAAAGGTTTAAAAATTAAGATGCTTCAGTTTCTCAAAATTCTTGCATCGGGTACAGACAACATTTTTTGTTTCTTCCTGTGTTTCAGTATGAGACTCATAAGTTCATTAAAGGACGAGGAAGCACAAAGACATTTTATCCTCTGGTCTTCAACGACATCATGGGACTGGAAGACGGGACCAACAGAGGAGTTCATGCTGACGACATCAAGCTGGCTTTGAGAGGTCATGTGAAGGAAGGCCACAAGGTGAGCAACTGTTCTGAAGTAGTGAAATATTTACACAAATGAATGTACTGTTAATTTAAAAATCACAGTTGTGAAATAATTTTTATTCTGTATCTTTTGTTCTTTTCCAGTTCAACCCAGTTGCTCCTCTAACTCAGGATGACCCAGGCTACAACCCGACTCCCTCTGCTGATGACAAAGTTCATGTACTGGTCTGTGTGATGTCAGCCAACACTCCTCAGATGAATTCATCAGTTCTGGAGAAGATGAAGAGCATCAGAGAAACAGCCAGTGATCTGGGTGAGTTTACAGAGAACAATCTTATTGAAGATGTATTCACACCTGACACATGTGATCCACTTTAAACGGACCAGAGATTGTTTCCCCCATTGGTCTGGACCTTATGTTCCAGTATGAATACACTCATGCAAATCCTTTGCGGACCAAACAACCAGACGAAGACCCTCTTTTAGAGGTGGTCTCAGTCCGCTTCCAAACTAATTTTTGCACTGTTCGCTTCTGGCATGAATCAGACTGACCTTGATGCAAACCAACCACAAGAACAGTTCATCTTTTTGGACTACATGAGCCATCGTTGCTGACTATCATTGTAAAAATATGTCCTTCAGTGTTGCTAACGTCGTACCTGATCCACCATTTTCTGCTTAGCAATGCTGCTGCTAGCATTTTGTTGGCCAGAGCAGGTAGAGCATCTTGTCTCATTCAGCTTGCAACATGACTTTCCAAAATTACAAATATTGTTGAAAGAGATGCTCTTAACATTCAAAATGGTATTGCAGTTAGAGTATCAGCACAAATGCAGTTGGCATTACTTCCATCTTTGTTTTTTTCCAGTCTGTGATCTGTTCCACCCCTGTTATTTCTGTGGAATGAAAGTATTGTCACTCTCATGGCTTTGTTTTCAATTTATAGTCCACTTGCAAAAAGCACAATGTGAGAACAAACTGCATTAAAAGAAAAACATAAAGTCTGCTTTTGGTCCAAACCAAACAAATCGACCAGAGGACTTTCCTGGTGTGGATACACCTCTTAACAGAGCAGATCCATAACAAGATCCATCATCAGTGTGTCTGGTTCCAACCTGACGGGAACTTTATCTCCACTCATTGAAACTTTCTTTGACCTTTAGTATAATAATTATTTTACTTGAGAGAGTTTATTTTCCTGCAGGAATTCCTCAAATGGCCGTGATGACCCACATTGATGAAGCCTGCGGTGAAACTGAGAGAGGCTTGAGGAACGTCTACAAGAGCAAGTACCTGAGAAAAAAGGTGAGTTTCAGTCATTTTGTTCAGAAATAACACAAAAGATGTTATAGACTGTAACTAACTGTTTTTTATTTTTCAGATGAAAGACTTCAGCGCCGCAGTGGGAATCCCCATGAACTGCATCTTCCCTGTGAAGAACTACAGTGAAGAAATCGACATGAATGATGATGTTGATGCTCTGATCCTAAGCGCTCTGAGGAAAATGGTCGACTTTGGAGACGACTTTATTGAGAAGATTTAAACTGAGAACTTTAATTTTAGTATCCAGTTTTGGATACCAAAAAGGCAAAAAGATTACAACATTTCACTGTGTAAGCATTGGTTTTATTAACTTATTCTATCCATTCTGAAGAGGTCACTGATCTCTATAGCAGGTCAAGAGAACAGTGCAGAGTAAAACTGGAAGCAGCTCCTAATGTATTGTGAAATTAGGACAGAGAACATTTTGGACGGTGTTGCAGTATAATGTATACATAATTGCAATGGCAGATAACAGGATAATATTTAGTCTTTTGAATGAAAAGAATTTGCTTTAAAACTCACAAAATGACCGGTTTACTGCCATTGTGGTTGACCAGGATCAGATAATCTTAGCTTTCTTTAATGTAGATGTCAGTAAGATTGTCAAAACAATGCTGGTGATTTTATTTTATTCTTTAACAATGTCATGCAAGCATTTCTTATTCCTGACTGAAACAGACCCATGTCGAAACAGTAATCAGATTTTTCACATCTGCTTTTCACGCCAAGAACTTTAAATGGACCTGTGTAAGAAAGGTGCAGAAATGGTAGAGGAATAAAATTATGTTAATTGTTATTAATTATGTTGGTTGACTGTTTTTGCACTGAGGCATGTTTTTATCAAAAGGAAATACACTGTGTCAAATGTACTGGGTCACTCTGACCTAGAAGTCAGGAATGAATTCAGATTTAGAGAGAAATGGAAATATCAATGGCTAACCTGGTGTAAACATATATCTAGTCAAATCCTGAAAGGTCCCAGCTGGACAGTTCCAGGAAACTCTAATCAGACTGCAGCAGAACGTGAGCCGAGTGATCTGCATCAACCAAAGAACAAACTGGCCTGGTTGACAAGCCTACATACACATACACCCCTGAAAGCAGGTAGTATAAATACTCCTTGGTTTCATAGATTCAAGGTGCTGCTATGAAATTATGTGAGAATATGTGAATTGTGTAATGCAGGTGTGCTCAGGACCCTCCAACTTTGGCCCAAATAAAGCAAACAAAAATGGAGTCTGATGTGATTATTTGTTTTGTTATTAGCCACTTTTCACTCCCCATCATAATGTACTTGCTTTGCCTCTCATCAATATTTCACTGTGTAAGTAGTTGCTATGAAATATGATACAATGTTAAGCATTTCTGGGATATTTGACTGATTGGAGATGGTGTAATTTTGATGCAAGAAGAAGATGATACAATGTTCAACCAGATGTCTCAATGAACTCCATTAATCTCAATTTGTAATCTTCTCAGTAATCCCTGGTTTACTCATTAGTTGGAAGCAACACATACAAACTATTGCTGTCTAAACAACGCAGCGCTGATATAATGTGTGTGCTGCTGAAGGGAATGACTGACCAGTGAGGAACGATTCAAACCTCCTTCAAGGCAGGAGAAAGTGCTTGAGGTTTAAAGAGTCGAGACAACGAGAGGAAAAGTGTGTTGGGAACAAGTTACTGCTTGGTTGAGTGAAACCTTTTGTACAAGTTAGAGACACTGTGCATAAGATCCAGATAAACAGTTTGAGGCTTAAATGTGACAAACACATTTAATATATGTGGAAAAAAAACAAAAAAACAATTGCAACTATGTCTAATTTTGAGAAATATAAAAGCAAGATTCAACTACAGACAGCACTAAACAACCCAGGTTGGCAAAGTGACAAAACATTTTGCTTTACAGATGTTCTTCTCCACAGACAACCTCAGTCTTGCCCAAATGCAAGACCAACAAGTCTAATAAAAGTCTAATTAACTGATCAGGCTTTATGATATCATCAGTTAATTAGACTTCTTGGCCTTGTGTATTTGGGCAAGACTGAGGTTGCCTCAGGTTGTCTGCACCAAGTGACATCATAGTAAACAGCTCTGAGTTTGCTGTTTGTCTACTGCAGGGTCTCTCCATCCCCAGCCAGTACCTCCCTGCACTGAACATGTGACTTATAATAAACCCTGCAGCTCATCTGAAGCAGCAGCAGATACTTTCACTCTATATATACAGAGCTTCTATATATATAGAAGCTCTGTTTTATCAGGCTTCATGATAAAAATTATAAAAATGATCATAAAGCTTGATAAAACCGATTAATTAATTAGTCTTGTATTTACAGTCTTACCCTCAGTCTTTGGACAAGACTGAGGTTGTCTGTGGACATTCTGGTCGGCAATATGTGAAAATGGTTACATTTGAACAATAAAATGATGATCCTGAAACTCTTTATCCCTGCAGAACAGACAAAACAGAAAGTGAAAATGATTTATCAGAAATCACGTGGTTCATCAGGGCAGCAGAAGTGATTTAAGGGAGGAGAAGGTTGCTGCTGGTTCATTTTGCAGCAGAGCAGCAACAACAGCAGGATGGCTCGACAAAATGAAAAATTATTTAATCAAAGACTAAGTAAGTGTATTTCACTTCTGATGACTTTTCAAGATATTTGTATGAATTGAATCAGGTTCAGAAAATAGTGCAAAAAAAATCTGCATGATTCTTTATGAACCGCCCATTTACTCTGCAATGACCATCATAAGTTTTTACTTTACTTTCTTTTATCTTTTTTAAAAGGGGAATGGCTTGGGGTCGCAGCATATTCTGGTAAGTTAAAGAGTCAAATCCAATGCTATCTAATGCATCACATTCACTGCCTTCAGGATTTTAAAATGTTATTTGTGTTTTAATACATTTGGAAAGACTAACTTGATCAAAGAAAATCACTCAGCTACAGCTTAATCATAATTTCTCTTCTGTTTTTTTTCTCTAAAGCTCATGTGGCTCAGTTTCCAAGTGAGTGATTGTAAAATCATAATTTCATTTGGTCAACATGGAAAATTGACTTGAAAAACATCTTTCAGGAACAGTTTAATATTCTTTTGTTGTTGCTTTCTGAAGCTGAAGAGGCTGAGTCTCCAAGTGAGTGATTACATAAAGTTTCTGAAATCTTCCAGTCGTCTTTGCAGAATAATAATTTATGTTTCTGTCCAGCTCTGGATGAACCGTGGAGGGAACTACGCTGGGGGTGAGTTTACAGTAAAACTGTCACGTCTGATTAATAACAACCTGTTTACTGCTGCTGGGTTGTTTGAGGCTCTGCTGAAATGTAAAGTTGCAGCTTCAGATCTCTGTAGAAAAATAAAAAAACACAGAAGCTTCAGGTGGGCTTTGTGTGGGACGTTCTGCTTATTGTGATCACAGCTGCTTGACACAAAGGGTTTGTGATTTAACAGGAAATGGAGGAAGTCGGTGGAACATGAAGGAAACTGCAGGGACTGTACAATAAAGTGTTGAGCTGAAAATGAAACAATTGAATCAAAAAAATGACTGTTGGGAAAATCATCAATACACAGGAGGAACAGTTTAAATAAATGTAGTTATTTTTTTTTAACTGAAAAGGCTTTGCTACAAGATGGAGGACAATAAAACAGACCAGCTGACCACTGATAACAGAAGATAAGAATGTGGTGCAATCAAAGCTCAGCTTTGCTCTTAGATAAGAGCAGGAGTACAGGGATAATGAAGAGCAAAAATGATTATGAAGTGAGAGACATTCATGATTAAAATGCTCATGACTGGGTTGGGACAAGTCTAATATGTAATGAATAAACTTAAAGGGGCAGTGTTGTGTTTTCCAGACACATAATACCATTTTATAGCATAATCAAGTAAGTACATTACTTTCAGTTGTTATAAAAATGTTATAACAATGTCATATCAAATATGAATTGAAAGAAATTTAACCTCCTGATTTAAGAGATAGATGCCCTTGAAACTGGGCATCTATCTCTTTAAAAACTCCTGCTCTTTCAGGAAGTCATCAGTATATCGCTCCTCTATTAACCATTTAGCAACATTCCTACCAGCACTGCACTGAGAAGTAACTCACATCATGAGCTCAGTAAATGTGCAGTTGTTTGCTAATTGTTGCTGGCTAGTTTGGAGGAGCTGAGCAGGAGAGCTGCTCTGTGAGTTTCATCCTTGAACGCAGCACTAAATCCACCCAGATGTTTTACACAGCTGAATGGTTGCTATGGGAAATTAAAGGATTTCACCGACATTCATGAAAAAAATCAAGGCAACACTCCAGACATGTTTTTGATGAGGGAGTTACATTATAATGTGGTGTGAAGCTGAAAAATGTTGAATTTACATGATATTGCCCCTTTAAAATGATTAATAAAATCATCAGTGACTTGTGTATAAGAGACAATAGTGACATAGAATCAACATCAAATTTCTCTGAGAATCCAATGAAAAGAGCTTTATACAATTCTTCTACTTGAATAGCATTACAAACAAATTACGGGATTAGTCCAACAAATTTGTCTGAAATGCAAGTGGTTTTTAAATACCTCAGGCTGGCAAATGCAGAGTTTTAATTCCTGGTTAATTTTTTTTTTTTAATGATTTTTGTGAATAAAAATCTTTAAATTGAGGTAATTTCTTTTCTTGAGTTCTTCTGCTGGTCTCTGAATCTAACTGGGTTGGGATCCTGTTGGATTATTTTATGCATTTTGTTCATCTTGGGACGGAACTAACTGATTTACTTTACATTCTCAGAGAAAAACAGAAGAACCTTAAATATGTGCAGGAATACAAACCTGAACAAGATGACATCAGGTACCTACGAGTCCTGCTATACGGACCAGTTGGAGCTGGAAAGTCCAGTTTCATCAACTCTGTCAGTAACGTCCTCAGAGGACGGATGACGATTCCTGCTTTGGCCAGCGCGACCACGTCCGATCAAAGCTTCACTAAAAAGGTTTGAAAACTAACAGATTTCTGTTTATATTCCAGTACTGACTTTAATAGACCAACCAGAAAATAACTGCTTCAGCAACAAGAGTTTTCTCTGGATCAAAATTATGTTCTTTTGTGATTTAGTATGAGACTCATAAGTTCAATAAAGGACGAGGAAGCACAAAGACATTTTACCCTCTGGTCTTCAATGACATCATGGGACTGGAAGACGGGACCAACAGGGGAGTTCATGCTGACGACATCAAACTGGCTTTGAGAGGACATGTGAAGGAAGATTACAAGGTGCAACAACTGCATGAACAAGTCATAAAAAGTGAATGAATGGATGTAGCCCTAATTTAAAGACCAGAGTTGTGTCCATTTGAAATAATTTTCATTCTGTATCTTTTACTCTTTTCCAGTTCAACCCAGTTGCTCCTCTAACTCAGGATGACGCAGGCTACAACCCG